CGGATAAAATTTTCAACACTCGTGCAAGATGCTTAGTATAGAGTTCTAAAGTAGAGTCTGTATATCGAGTATCAGAATATCATAAAAAAACAAGCATAAACTTCCTCAAATAAGGTTCCAAAACTTCTTTTATCATAGTTTAGAAGGTTGCGAGTGCATTGGTTAATCCGAATGGGATAACCTTGAATTCGTAACGGCCTTGACAAGTTCCGAAAGTTGTCTTCTTGATGTCCTCCTCATGCATTCGACTTGATGATAGTCGGACCGTAGATCAAACTTATAAAAGAAGTAAGATCCCTTAAGCTCATAAAAAAGATCATCAATCAATGGAATGGGGATTTTTTTTTTTTTTATTATGATGATGTTGAGCTACTTGGAGTCCATATAAAATTATCAAGAATTATCCTTCTTCTTAACCAATAGGATCTGGTGAAGCAAACAAACCGCAATTTGGTTGAATGACACCATTGTATAGCATTTCTTTGACCAATGTTTTGATTTCTTCTTTGTGTATGAAATAGTTCCTTTAGGGTCTAATATTTCTCGCTTTAGCCACTTGGAACCAAATGAATTCTTTTATCGAATTTCCTTATTGGAGGCATCTTTTTTGGTTTGTAAAAATAGCTTCGTATTTCTTTAATAAGGATTTTATCTCTCTATTTTCCACTTTAATAGTTACTCATAAGTTGTAATGGAGAAAAACTAACCAACAACCCTACAAATAATTTCTCTTAGTGTTTTGTATACATTGACAACTATAATCTATTGTAATTTATCTTTTTCAACGTCAATCATTCCCTTAAGCTCAATCATCCTTCTTCTCTTTTTGAACGATAACATTCATCTTGACAAATCAAACGAGATACGAGAGAACATCCTAAGTTAATCCACCTCTAAATCTATGTCACAACCACCTAGTTTTAAGTACCTATAAGTTTGCTTTAAACGGATATCCTTCCATGAACCATGTAAACCTCGGACTTCTTACATGGTAATTCATCACATCTCTATTGGCTATTGTCACAGAGAGAGTAGAAGTTTCCTTAATCATAGCCTTGATGTCTTTTACCACCCTAAGATCGACGAAACTATGCATTCTTCCATTATCAATTAGGATGATAGTCTCTTTATTGTTACATCATTCCTTAATTTTGGTAGTATTGTGAGCATATTTTCTCGTTAGGGCATGCGAGAGAAAATCCAAATTCCTCATAGTTCTTCTCATCCATTAATCCATCCTCCTCATTTCCTTCCTCTACATCCACGAATCCATCACCCTCTCTTTCTATACCTTTCATCATATTCAAAGCTTTTCTCGCACATTGATGTCTAGGAGTGTATTTATCCCCACATCTAAAATAAAGCCCCAATCTTCTCTTATGATCCTGCAAAATCCATATTTAAGGTTTTTGTAGGCTAGTATTTATAGATTTAAACTAGTTAGTGTTTTCATTTCTAGTAAAAGTAATATAAGATTTGTGGAATGGATTGGTATTTAGCTTATAAGTATTGTAAGCGGGGCATGTTTTGTTGTTGTTATAAGTTGGAGAGCTTATTTGTAGAATTTTAGATTTTTTAGCCATGGTATTTATAGACTCGTCTTGCCATCTTGCTTGGTCAAATGCTTGAATCAAAGTTGCGAGTTACGGGATCTTTAGCATAGGTTTGATATCTTCTTTGAGTTTACTAACGAAGCTAGATACAAAATAAGACTCGGACAAATATGAATTATTGGCATTCATTAAAAACTTGAGCTCCTTAAACTTCTTCACGTACTCGCTCAACTTATTGTTCTTGTTTAAGTTTATTGAACTCCTCCACTACATCCTACTATCAAACCTTCTACAAATCTCTTCTATAAATTCTTCCCGATTTCTTAAATCATTTTTTACCATAAATCCTTCAAATTAGATTTTTGTTTTTCCTTCCAAATATATGAAAGCAATTTCCACCCACCAATGAACAAAAATGAAGTTCATCCCGAAATACCTATTACATTTAAGAATCGAGCCTCCAGGATTTTCTCCTTCAAATAGATGTAAATCTATCCTAAGTATTGAAGAATTATAGTCGGACCTCACAAACTCAAGAGTTAACAAAGGCTCACCATGAAGAGCTTGATGGACTAGTTTTATGGTTGCATTTCCACCATGTGAGGAACTAGAAGATGTTCGTTGTTATTTTTTGATTTTTTTCACGCGATAATGATCGAATCAACTTCATCGGACCTTCCAATTGAAGTTGCATTTATTGATTTTGCTCTTACATTTGTTTTTTCATGATTTCAACACTTTCTTGAAATTCTTGATAAATGCATTACATGTGCTCTTTTTGCCTTCTATTATGTTCTTTAGAGCTTTGATTCTATTGTTATCCATCATAAGTGGTCTCGGTTAGCTCGATACCAATTTTTTTGGGTTTCCTTAACATTTAAGTGAAATAAAGAAGAAGAAGAAGAAGAATTGAGAGAGAAATTTTATACGTCTCTCTATTACAACAATCAAAACAAACTTAATGAATCCTTATCTCTCTCTCTCTTGGCCACTTATATTGTTAACCCATGCTACCTTAGCAATTAGCTACGATAATTAATTCTCCTTCTAACTACTGCCACATCAATGACTCTTCAAACCTTATTATCTTAATAACATAAATTATAAAAGAGTGTATAGCACACTAGTCATAAAATCTTGAAGTTTTATTGAAGTTGATCACCCATAGCATAAAAAGGAATGTTTGTCTAAGAATGAAAAACATTGTATTAATTTAATTTTGAGCCAATTTTCAATCATTTAATATGTCAAGGAACTTAGGGTTTGTCCACTTGTCATGTTTCTTCGCCCTTCTTTTTCTCAAAAAGGAAAAGATGTAATGCTTGAATTAAATGGCATGATAAAAGGAACATAGAGATAAAAACTAGTAATTAACAAGTAAAACCCATCTAAAGTTTTGCACTTTTGTTTTCTCGTCTTCATTTTGCCTACATGATACACAAAACCTTATTACGAGCTTAGTTTATAAGAGAGAACTAGGAAGTGCTTTTAGGGGTGTAGAAAAAGTTTACAATTTTGATCCAAAAATTTTAAAAATTTTTAAGTAGACCATTTGAATTAAGGATTTTTTGATATAGGATACATATTTTTGCATAGGTTTTGCACATATTGAGATCTCGGTATAGTTTGAATTTTTTTATTGAGACCCTAAGTTTTTTCTTGTCTAATTTAAGAGTTATATTTTTATGTTATTGTTGTTTCGGACCCTAATATACCACGTAAGCACACTTGATAAGCTCTAGCCAATGGCAGCTTGGCGACTTGCCACGTGTCATGGTAGGTCTAAGTTAGGTGATTGAATTGGTGACGTGTTAAGTTGTGATTGATTAAGATCTAAACAACGTAAGAGTAGAACCCTTAAATTGGATAAAAAAAATTTAAGATATTAATAACAAAAAATCTGAATTGTACGAGGTTTCAATATGTGTACGCGTTTTGACTACATGATGCACAAAACCTTGTTACGAGCTTAGCCTATAGGAGAGAACTAGGAAGAGCTTTTGGGGGCGAACCCAATCATAGAAAAAGGTTACAATTTTGGTCTAAAAATTTTCAACATTTTTAAGTAGACCATTTGAATGAAGGATTGTTTGATACAAGATACATATTTTTGCATAGATTTTGCACATATCAAGATCTCGGTATAGTTCAAATTTTTTTATTGAGACTCTAAGTTTTTTTCTTGTCTAATGTAAGAGTTCTATTTTTATGTTGTTATTTCAAACCCTAATATGCCACTTAAGCATACGTGATAAGCTCTAGCTCTAGCCAATGACGGTTGCACGTGTCATGATGGGTCGAAGTTAGGTGATTGAATTGGTGACGTGGTAAGCTCGTCATGGACTAAAGTTTAAAACAACGTAAGAGTAGAACTCTTAAATTGGACAGAAAAAATATTTAAGACATTAATAAAAAAAATCTGAATTACATGAGGTTTCAATATGTGTAGAACCCTATATTCCTTTATCATCTTATTTTCGAATTTATTTTAATATTTTTCATCTTGAAAGCTCCGGTTTTAGAAATCTAGTTTCTAACCTGTTGTCTACCGTTTTAGTTTGATGGTCAGAAAGGTTCTGTAATGTCTTCTAACATGAGATTATTTCCTTGACATTTTATTATGAACTGGGATGGGGTTTAAAATAAGCTGGTCGGTTTTAAAACATAGTTCCCCTCAGGATATATGGACAGAAATATATTTCAATCAATCAATGTCTGTGAAAAGCTGAAGTCGCAGAAAAGCAGGCACTTCCCGCTTCTTTTCCCATGTGCGGCTGCAATAGCGACAACGAAAAAGATCTGGATAAGGAGAGGTTGAAGGCAAATGACTAGCTAGCCTAGCAGCCAACAGGCAGGCAGAGTATTGGAGTGGGAATCTTATGGGAGGAAGTCGAGACTCTAGAATGCAGGCACTGATGGGATATCTATTAGACCACTAGATGTGAATGAAATGGTTATAAAATAGCGACAGGCACAAAATTCACCCCCCATTTGACAGCCGAGTAACTAACCCTAGAAGCAAATCAAGCAACGCCTGGGAGTCGCTTGCAAATCATGTGGCTCTTCGCCAGGCCATGTTCGCTTGACCGCTCATTTCATTTTGTCGATGATGCAAAACTGACAACAGTTTCTCCGTTACCATTAACATCTTCTATCCATAGAATCAAAGTTAAATACAATGGAGGCGACCATGATAGACTATTGTCTCATCCTGGAACCATGTCCTTGGGAATCAAATTACTTCGTGTTACTACTCAAACAAACTAATCCAATGGAAACAGAAAAACACAAGTAGAGCGAGGGGGAACCCCTCAAATGGGAACAGATATTCTGCACCTTCTAGTCAACTATATCTTGTGCAGTGACTGTTGTATACAACCGCCCCATCTTAGACAGCCCTAGAAAGATACCAACTAAATGTTCTATACCTCGTCATTTTATCTTCTTCTATTCACATGCCAATTTAGTGTCAAAGCTGCTCAAGCAGATAGCAAACGCCTGAAATGCAGACAAAGGATACCGGTAATCCATGGTGAACATATCTTTCCCAACCTTACCAAACTGAAGAATGACCTTCTCGTGATCAGACTGAGCAGGCTGCGAAGGTGTTGGTGCACCAGCAGCAGGCTGCGTCGCAGCAATAAGCTGGAAGTTCTTGACAGAGGCAACCGACACTCTCCCACGGAAATTGAGGCACCAGCACTGCAACTGTTCATGCCATCTTGGTGACTTGTTCCGGAGGACCAGTGGTCTCTCCTTTTCCTCCTCATCTTCTTCTCGAGACCCAACAACGTCCGAGAACCGGGAACTGCTAAACTCAGTTGAATTGTTCGTATGCCAAATATACAATCATGTCTTTCTTATAGGTTTCCTAATTTGTGATGGAAACCAATTATTACGGATCTTGTTATGGAAAAATATTAATTTTATTTTTAACTTTTTTTCTTAACATTTTTTTTTATTAATAGACTCGTTTCTATAATTGAATACAAACTAGTCCTTCCATATTGTTGAACATGGAAATTAAATCATTTCATTTGAATCTATATATACTCGATTTGTTCATAAAAATTAATTAAGAATTTAGTTAATTTTATTCTTTACTAATTCATGTTATTTTCTTTTTGTTTTGACATGAATTCAAATTACATAACAAATAGATTAGATTGATGATAGATCATGCAAGGATGAACACGAGTATTTTGATAAGACTAATGTTGATACCTTGTCTTTAAAATACATTAGAAAGATTTGCTTTATAGATTCGGAGTAGAGTTTCCTAAAAGAAGATCGAATTGTTATTTTTTTTTAGTTTACCAGCAGTTGAAGCAGTTTTAATCCAAAAAAACTCAATTTTTTTCAACTCAAATATGATTGTCAAATTATGGATAACGTGGTACGATTCTAATGGTTAAGAATCATATTTAATTCACTATAAATAGCAATCTCACACCATTGTGAGAAAATTCTAAATTTCTAATTCTTTGCAAAACCTTTAAACACTTTTTCTCAAAACTCTTCTACTTATACACCGAGACAATATCTAAAACTTTATTTGTTTTGATTTTGACGATTTACTTGGTTGTCACTCGATTTGCATTTTACTAGTATTGTTTACTTTTCCTCTTACATCTTTCATATTTACATCCATTCTACTTAGTTGGTTGATCATTAATTTTATAAGTTATAATACTAACTTTCTATATTCGACTGATTTATCGATCAGTCATTCAATCAATTTTCAAAAAAATCTCTCTCATAGTGTCAATTAACATCCTTTGGAGTACATGCTAGAAAAACACCTATTATATTAATTAGGTTAAAAATTTAATGGGATATTGATTTAATGAAATGTATCAATAAACTTCGTGCTTTTATATATTTAGCTCTATGAGTAGCATGTTGTTTAATAACGATGCTGGAAAATTTTATTTTCCAATAATATATTCTTTTAATAATTAATTTTTTTTTAAATGAAACCTTTTAAGAAAATCTTATATTTTTGGAAATGCATTCTGGAAATTTACAAATAAAATTTAACTTTGTGGCAATAACACGCATGCTTAAGTTTAGTAGTTAGTGGTTGCGTATTTGATAATTTACTTCAAATCAAAGTTGGAGTTTCAATTAGTGCAATTTTCTGAGTTATAATATAATAGAGAAGAAACACTCCATTTGTTTAGTTCAAAGCCTTTCAAATCTCCAGTCTCCCAATATATATATATATATATATATATATATATATATATATATATATATATATATATATAAACACTTGCGTTATTCACTATTACTAGACTTGCAGCTTATATCAGTATTTGGCACACAAAGAAAAAAAAAGTGTTTTGACTTAAATTTTAGATCGAGACTAAAATGAACAATCACTAATTTCACAAAGAAAAAAATAAAAAAAGGAAAGAAAAGGTGTCTTTTTCACCTAGAGTTTCAAGAGACAATCAGGATACCAGTGGGTTGAATAACAGTGTAACAGGAGAAATTAAATAGGAAGCAATTGCTTCTGTTAATTGATTAAAAAAAATAGTTTGTTTAAATTATTTGAATTCAGTTTCTTGTAAATGAACAACAAAGAAATGAATCATTTAAAAGACCAAAGTACCATATCAATGCTTGACATTATTACTTATACAATAAGATATGAAAATTCACATTTATGAATGAGGTATGGAACCTAAAAGCTTCCTTTTATGTGTCCCTCCTCACAAAAAAGTTCAGGTCTAGCTATTTTTATAGAAATTTACAAATCCATAACAACAACAATAATAGCCTACACCAATCAATAGACTATTTTTGTTGAAAAAAAATAACACTACGATTTCCACACACACACAAATATATATAGATTATGGTTTTAAGGGACGTGCCTTTAAGAAGATCCTTAAAGATGAGACTTAATTTCAATTAACATATAAGGATTCAGAAATATTTTTTACTGTCGAATAAAAATAATTGTGATCTGAAATATTGGAATCAAGATTGTGCGTCCACTAGACACCGAAGAATGTTCACCTGCATCTCAAGACTGGTTACATAACTTCCCATTTCGTTAAACAATTCATCAACACCCATCTCATGCCCACCAGGCAAAAGAGATCTTAGACTGGCCAACTGGCTTCCAACTTGCTCTTGCTCAACTTGCTTTGCAGCTCCTGTCTTGGTTCTGTCCCTCTTTAATTTCTTGTTAATCTTGGCCTTACCATTAGGGCTTGGAGCAACTTTCATTTGAGCAGTTGCATTATAATTAGCATGCGTTAACCTTGGTGAGCAAGGATCATTATCATCGTTTTTCAGAATGCTTGGGCCATGCATAGAAGGACATTTCAATGAGGCAGAAGAATCATCATGATGATAGATGGAAGAGTCATGAAATCTACCTGCATTGATATTTTTGCGAAGCCTACTTTTCAAGGCTTGACTCCAAGCAAACCCTGGGGCGGACATCACCAACGCCAGGTCTACTTCATGTCTCACAGTTTTTTCTAGCTCAGAGTCATGGCCATATTTGTCATCTAATGGTGTTTCTTTCTTTATCTTCATTAGAGCTGGAACCAAATGGTTCACGTAATCTCTAGCAAACATTGTTTGCGCTATCAAGTTTGGCTCAAGAGAATATAGGCGTCTTCGTTTAGCATTCATTTGTTCCTCCATGCAAGAAGTGAACAAATAAAACTGACGGGTGGTAGAGAAAAAATGAAAGGTACAAGTAGTAGAGCTACTAATATATCTTTGAGTTATTTAGAACTTGAAAAAACAATGTTGCAATTACGTTGAAGGAAGGAGAGGGAGGGAGGGAGGGGAGAGCTGTTTTTCTAGTGCACGCAAGGAAAGTAAAAGAGAAACAAGAAGTATGCTGGAATGGAGAGGAGCAAGTGAAGCACCAGGGTTTATAAAACAAAGAACTGGATGCTAGCTAGCTAGCTACAGGTGCCAACGGGACACCCTATCCCAGTTCAAATCAATCTACCCCACTAAAATGCCCATTCTCACGGCTTAACAAACTTTGACATATGGAAGCCAGCCCACGAAAATAATTGGAGTGACAAAGAATTCAGTTACTATCATCACAGAAACAAGAAATGAATGAGAGAGAGAGAAAGAGAGAAAGAGCATAATATCCCATGATTTTAATTAGAGCAAATTACGGAGGGTTGAGGCAAATACTGTGACCACCCCTAATCACCAGTAAGAAAGATTGGTGTCCAAAATCTTGGGCTGGCCTATTTGAAGTCGGCACATGGCCTCACATGCTTTCCTTTGCTTTTCACACCTACCTGAAGAAGAACCCTCTCCCATGTGCACTAAGAAACAAGACATTAAAACCCCACTATAAATGCCCTCACATGACTCCACCCCTACAGTGCTTTTTTTGTTTTCCCCTTAAATCCTATTTTCTGGTTTCTTTTGCGCTTATAAAAGATTTTTTCGTTATATCAAATCAACCAGCTCAGCCTGCTTGTTTCTCGACCACTTTTCAACCTTCATGTTAATGCATGCTACTAGTACTTCAAGTGTAGGGTGTTCTGCATAGAGGTGCTAATTAATAAGATGTATTATTAGCTAACCCTTTTTCTTTTCCAATAGATATTAGCTAATCATAGTTAAAGTCTTTTTTGGAATGCTATTGGAGTATCGGTTTTAATCTTAGTTACATGAGAGAAAAAACAAGAACTGTGGTTAGGAAAGAAAATGCTCTTGCAACAAAAATTTTTGTATAAAAAATAACAAAATAGAACAATATTTCAGCTTAATTTAACAAATCCTCTTTTCAAAATCATTTACTACTATTTGTTAGTGGATTTTTCCTTTTCCATTTAATTCAATTACAAAAAGTTCAAGAACGTGTTATCTCTTATTAAGACATGTTAGAGAAAGTAATATAAATTATATATGGGATTTGATCCAATAATTTAAGTTTTTGAGTTAAAATAGTATTTTGACGTGATAACGAGTTTTGATGATCAAATAGTCTACCTACTCTCATTCTCTTTTATTAAAAATAAAACCTAATTTTTTCTTATTAAACTTAAATAGATCCTACCCACTCATGTAATAAATAGAATCAAGCCTTAGGATAATTTTTTCTTATTAAACTTAAATTCACAAGGCAAATCAATTTGAAAATTTTGGTCACAAATATTTTTAGATGGATGATAAGAGGACTCAAATCCAAATTCATGCAATGTATGAATGTCAAAACAATTATACGGCTCGATCGGAATATGTCAAAGGTTACCGATGGAATACAACTCCATATTTAAACAAATTAACGAGCAAAGCAATCCATCATGTAAGACTTTTCAAAGGTTATAGATAAAATTTAAGTTTATCTTTAAACTAACTTGAGTCAATGCAAGAGGATCAAATAATTAATGATTGGATCCTCTTATCGATTCCACGTAAAGGCTACTCCATATCTAGTCATGAGTATCTTTATTTATGTTAGAATATTATTGATGTTGTTATGTTTTGCTATTTTTCCTATTTATGCAGAGAAACATAAGTCATCTAGTCAAAATTGTATTTACTCTTTCAAGAGTTAACAACTCAAACCAAAGAAAAAAAATAGACAATGGAAAAAAAAAATCAACTCGAGCAAAACCATAAACAAGAATTAAATGCTTTGAAAGGAAAAATTTCTAGGTTAACTACTTTACTTGAGTAAAGTATATAAACTCATGCACCTATTAAAGTGCCTCTTAGTCAAGAAACGAATCAGTCATCTACTACCCTTGAGATGTTCAACATCATACCTATACCTACTATTTGAGTGGCAATTTTTATGCCACTTTACATCATTTCACATCGGAAGACTATTAGCTTTGTGAATTAGAATAGCCATACTACACCTAAGGGTATATATGAACCTACTATTCTTAAAGTTTACGGCTCGATTCTATGGAAGCCACCTACTTTGCAAACTCGAAGCATTTTTTATGATTGATTTGGCTATTAATGAAAAGATGAAAGGAAAAATAATCTTCGAGATTGAAATTTAAAAGCTCAATTCCATTAAGGGTGCAAACATATACAACCTTTTTTTAACTAAGGATAGATATTTGATTTCAAATATCATGATTCCTTAGAAGTTCAAAGTGCCTAAATTCTCTAAATAAACTAAGATTCAATATCTAAGAAGTTATCTTATGATTTACTTAAACAAGATGACCAAAGTTACTTATGATGGAAAGCTTCGATGCACTTCTTTCTTAAAAGTCTTGATGGTGTCACTTTGAATTGGTTTATTGATCTTAACCAAATAAAGCTTAAGAAATGGAAGGATTTAATTGAAATATTCATGAAATAGTATAAGTTCAATATGAAAGTAGCTTCGATAAGTCAAGCCTAGAGTCTATGAAAAAAGGTCGGAAAGAATATGTTAGAGACTATAGCCAATGACGGCATGAAATGGCTTCTCGAGTTTGCCTACTCATTCTTGAGAAAAAGTTGGTTATTCTTTTTATAAATTCCTTTGAAGTACCCTATTGTGATTACTTATTGAGTAATGAATTAAATAGTTTTGTTAAGATTGTTTCTATAGGCGATAAGATTAAGCAAGCAATCTAGGTTGGAAAAATGGTTGATCCTTTTGAATCTAGATCAAAGAAGAGTAACTTGGAAGAAGGAAAAGACATCGAAATCTATCAATTAGGGGAATCTACTTATTTGTAGAATAACACAACTAACTTGGCTCCGTAATTCATGATACCTATAATGCAACTTTTTTACCTCAACGTTCCCGGACACAAAACTCGGCCACTCCATAATCGATAAAAGCCATTCAATCGAAATAATTAGCAAAACTCAAATGATAGGAAATATAGAGAGTTGTTCCCTTTTTTCCTATTTCACTAATTGATCTCTCCAAACATCTTATATCCATCAATCAAGTAACTTCAAAGATCATTCCTCCATTGCAAACCTAATTTCCTCATTGGTACAAGCCTAATGAATCATACGAATACCATAATAGGGTAAATGGCCATAGTATTGAAAATAGTTTTGGTTTCAATAAGAAAGTACAAAACTTGATTGATTAAGGCCCGATCACATTTGATCTCTCATGTCCTCTCGAACATAAATGGTGCCACTTGTTGGGAAGTGAATGTGTTGTCATTAAATGACATAGGGTATGATGTTATGATGTAAATAAGTCAACCTTGAAAGTCTCCGTATCCGGTTTATTCGATATGATAAGTCCTGCCGGCTTTAACAAAAAACTTGTAGAGTCTTAAACTATTTCTCATGCCAAACGATTCTATGATTTCCATAAAGGGAGTGGACATGATATTGAGAATTATCATCAATTTCGTCATAACCCAAATTTTGGGTTATATATTTTCCTCTAATTTTACCTTTTAGGTTTTTATTTTTTTTAATTGTTTTAGTTATTCCTTATTTTTATTTTATTTTATTTATGTTATTTTAATACTTACCGTAAAAAATAAAAAATGTAAAAAAATGAAAATATAAAATTGATGGATATGTTTAATCATGAGCATAATTGCATTAATCCGAGCTTAAAATTAGAGGCTAATAGGGGTTGGATTTAACAAAAATGGGGATGAATTAAGGGCATAATTAAAAGGAATCGAGAGGACATGATTGAAAAAAATAAAAAGTTGAGGGATTGATTTGTAAATTATTGAAATAAATCTTTGAGATAATGAACGATTGTTCATTGCCTCTTTTGTTTCAAAACTAGAGATGGTTTTGATTTCTCTTAGTTTTCCAATAGACTTTGATTCCCTCGGGTAGCTCATTAATCTTTTTCATTTTCTTGGTTTACAAGTTATGATCAAACAAGAATAAAGGATGAGAACATTCGAGAAAATAAAAGAATGGAGGGATAATATATTTGATCGAACAATTGGAAATAAGGGGAAAAAAGGAAAATTAAGTTTATTTATAGAGAAATGGTACAAATGAAGGAGATTTTAGTCCAAAAAGGGGGATCAAAGGAGAAAAGAAAAAATAAAAACAGAGAGTAAAGAGAGAGTTTCAAGTTTTATGGATTCTTTTTTAATTTTTGGATTTGTGTTCTCGAGCTTTCTACGGTTTTCTCAATTGGGTTTGTGTTCTTAAGTTTTCTAGGTTTTTCTTGAGTTTTTAGCTTTTGAGGGTTATAGCTCTAAATAATTGATTCTTGCAGCCCAAATCAGTCGGAAAAAGAAATAAGGGAGAGGATTGGGAGAAAAGATTGAAAGGAGAAAAAGGAAGGATTTTAGTTCTAAAGGTTTTTTAGGTTTCTATGAATATCTCTATTAAAAAAAAAAAAAAACTACTTGGGTTTTGGGAGGAGAACAAGCCTTAGGATTTGAGTCTAAGGAACCAATTCTTTGGCTTAAAAACATTCCTTGGGTCAAATAGATCGATTTTGAAATGAAAAGAAAGAGGAAAAAAAAACACAATCTTGGTCCACAATACCTCACTTGGTTTAAGGAAGCTTCGATTCATTCCAAAAGTTCATTGGGTTATCTAACAATAGCCAATCTAATCCCATACATTCAAAGAACTAGGTTCTTAAAGTAAATCCTTCTAACTTTCCAAAACACTTCAAATCACCAAAACATCCCTAAGCTCTTGTATGTCTAGATTTTACATGTATGATTTCCTTTTTCTTATTTTCCTTTCTTTAG